TTTGTTTGTTGTGTGATGTTTAGGTGCAGTTGTGAATATCCTTCCAGTACTTTTTGCAAAAGTTAAGCCTTCCATTTCAGAGGTAGGGGCAGATAATGAACTTTATTAGTGTTTTTATTTGATGATTAACCAAAATGGTTAATAAGATTTTGCTTTCAATGTACCATAAATTATCTTTATATCACTCAGACACATAATTTTTGGATATGAAAGTTTCTTGATTGCTAAGCAACCTAAAACTCATTAGAATTTGTACTAAATATTAATTTTGCAGGTACGTGGATTTTATCGATCTGTTATTGCTGGGTTGTTGACTTGTGTGGCAGTCATAATTTTTTGGTGAGTTTGCATCGTAATTTATGTGCCAATTTGTGTATGTTCATATTGCATGTTACGATATTTCCGTAGCCCACATACAATGTAGGTCACAACCAATGACATGGGAGAATTTTTCTAGGCAGTTGTAATCATTGCTTGGAAATTTACCAGTTGCCATGGTGATTGCATTAACTTGCTATGCATTTCTTACAGGGCTGCAAGAAATGGTGTTACATCAGCAATTCCTCTTACAAAGGTGAGCACATTACTTTAATTTTTTTTAGTTTCCTCTCTTGGAAGCATTGTTAATTCATGCACATATATATAAATATTGACCAAGCGCATTGGCCAAGTTCTTTTTTTGCGTGTTTATGGACCGATACAGAGTCCAGGTCCGTAAATGTGCAAAAAAAGGAGGCCAATATCCAGCAATTTTCACTGAACAAGCTTGGTCAATAAAGAATTTATTACATGAAAAAATAACACTACATACTCGTGGTACACACCAGTAATCCTGAGCAGGCAAGATAGCACCATCTTGCACGCTCAGAGCCAATCACAGTGCAGGATTGGGTTCATGTTGTTCACTCATGGGCCTAACCGTATAATCATTAAGAAATAGAAAACATGCTCTCCATGTTTCTATCGAGGTATAGAAACACGAGTGGAAGTTTGGGAGAACAAGAAATGCTGTGGGAACACGAGCCGCAGGCAAGTTTTTCCACAGCTTTTTTGAGTGCTCCCAAACTTTCACGAGGGAAAACAACTTGTTAACTTTGATTATCAAAATGTAAATTCTCTTTGCTCATGCCATCATTACATCGACAGCTCGTGCTAGTTCTGTGTTTCCATCGAGTTACAGAAACACGATTTTCAACCAATCAGCGTGCATATNACGCTCAGAGCCAATCACAGTGCAGGATTGGGTTCATGTTGTTCACTCATGGGCCTAACCGTATAATCATTAAGAAATAGAAAACATGCTCTCCATGTTTCTATCGAGGTATAGAAACACAAGTGGAAGTTTGGGAGAACAAGAAATGCTGTGGGAACACGAGCCGCAGGTGAGTTTTTCCACAGCTTTTTTGAGTGCTCCCAAACTTTCATGAGGGAAAACAACTTGTTAACTCTGATTATAAAAATGTAAATTCTCTTTGCTCATGCCATCATTACATCAACAGCTCGTGCTAGTTCTGTGTTTCCATCGAGTTACAGAAACACGATTTTCAACCAATCAGCGTGCATATTTTCTTAGTGCTGTTTTCTAAATACATGTAAGGCACTCAGCTTATTGTTCAGTCTCTTTTACTGCAGTTCAGTTCTTTTAGATTACATCCACATGTGTCTCTCTGTCAATTTCCAACAAATTTCTGGCTTCTAACTGAAAACATACTTTGTTTGTGTACACAGATTATAAAATCAAATTATCCTGGCTATGGATGGATTGCTCTTCTAGTTCAAGTGTTTATGATTAGCAGTGTTGCTGTATCATTTCTTACTATGGGAGCAGGAATGAAACATATGGGTAAGCAGATTGCATTAATGTTATTTTAGATGTGAAACTCTCATCATCATCATTATCGTCATCATTGTCATCATCATCATCATCATTATCTGTTCTCTCCCTCCTAGTTGTCATTCTCGGTGGCAATTTCTGGTCTGTAGCTGTGCACTGCCTTTATCCTACCTTCTCTGCGACACCTCTCTTGGCCATACCCTCCTATGCCTGACTTGCCTGTACATGGGTGGTATGTTATTGTGATCTTAGGATGTTAGCCTGCAAGCAGGCTCACCTTTGAGTCCCACGCACAAGCAGCGAACAGCAAAGTGATCCGGCAGGGTGGAGTCAAAAAAACATAAATGCATCACCGCTCAATTCCGTGCTCACAGCTATGCCACTCACACTTGTGCTCCAATGTGAGCCTGTTTGCAGGCTATTGGGATGTCAAAGTTTACAGCAATTCTAAGCAGCAAAGGTTTCACAGAATATCTCTTAGACACAAAACATCCATTACATATATCACTTGCAGACTAATTGCTTTCAAGACCTTTTTGAAAAGGAGAGACTTTCTAGACAGAGAGCCTTTACAGAGAGGGCAGAGGCTTACAAATCAAGGTTATAAACAGTATTTTTGCAACCTGTATTGTCAGGGAAGTAAATAAATACTTTTGTGTTTATTTCCACAGTTGACAGTTGGTTTGATTCTTTTTATTCCACAACTCAAACTAACTGGCAGGAGATGAAGTCCAAATGGGAAGGCATCTATTGTAAAGCTCACATCAGATGGTCAGTAATCAGACTGAAATGTTAATTTTCATGACCGACTGCCATTCATTTCTTGTAATATGATCTCTGAAAATTTGTTGACACATTAGGAAATAATAATTCAGGGATCAGAACAATCAATGAGCGATTAATAGTTGATCCCTGGTTGATGAGGAAATTACAAGGTAAAGTAACTAGGAATTCTCCTTGACACCCACAAAACAAAACAGGGCCTTTAATATTGTCCCATACCGTTGTGTATTCTTCAAATGATGAAGCTACTTAAGAATCGTTCCGTCCATATTTATCCACAGGTTTCTAAAGATTGCCATTCTTTTGTCGCTGTTTGGATTTCTCTTTGCTGTAGCCGCATTAAATCCGGTGGTGAGTGGTCTTTTGCTGTCAGTCTAAACCCCTCTCTCCCGTCCCCCTCCCCTTTATTCCACAGGAAGTTTGGTCTGAACGTCAGAGAGAAGATAAACCCAACCCNATTCTTCAAATGATGAAGCTACTTAAGAATCGTTCCGTCCATATTTATCCACAGGTTTCTAAAGATTGCCATTCTTTTGTCGCTGTTTGGATTTCTCTTTGCTGTAGCCGCATTAAATCCAGTGGTGAGTGATCTTTTGCTGTCAGTCTAAACCCCTCCCTCCCGTCCCCCTCCCCTTTATTCCACAGGAAGTTTGGTCTGAACGTCAGAGAGAAGATAAACCCAACCCTAATGCGTCTTTTTAAGGATAGAAAAGGTGGTGGACAAATGCAAGAGTGCTATTTCCCCCCCCCCTTCCCCCGGGAGGGGGTACCTTACAAAGTGTTATGCAGGGAAGGTCCATTTTGACAGAAAAGGTACTCCATTTGTGTACCTTTTATTGAAAAAAGGAACCCCTTTCACATACGTACTTAAGAACACTGCATCCCTCTTCTAAACCCTTGAAATGAAGTTAATGAAGTCTTGCTTAATAAGTTTAACCATACAGCCATAAGGTGCATCTGTTCAAAATATTTTAACTAAAGGCCTTTAAATACCTAAATGATGGATTTCCCTACCCCTTTCATATACCTCAGCCTGTGACATCCCTGCCCTTTTATATACCTGAAGCCTGAAAAAGGTAACCCTTTTGGGCGGGGCCTCTCGGTGTGGGCCATTACAGGGAGTACCCCCAGGCGCTATCAGCAAGTGTTTCCTTAAAGAAATGTTCCTTCATTGTGCAAGCTGCAACTATATTGCCACTCATTTCCATCCTTACCATCGTTTTTCATCTTTACTTGCCAAGGGGCTCTGGTCATTTATCTAGGACAGCTCTTCTCTTCAAGCAGAGTTGTTTCTTGTTAACAGTTTGTGCGTGATCTTCTTTCAGGGAACTGTGACAGTGCTGGGGAATGTCACATCACTAGTGTTAAATGTTGAACTCGGAGTTTTTGTCATTCTAATGCTTAGACGATCACACAGCCAGACATTCAGGTAAGCTGCAAACCTCCCATTACTTCATATGTTTGATAATCAAATACAACTTCAGGTCTGAAACACGTACGATGGAATCATAGTTTTGGGACTGGAAGATAAATTCAATAAGATTACCATGTCAAGAACATGGCGGCTTACCCCATACGAAATTGTAAGGAGTACCCCACCCCACCCCTGTCGTAACCTTGTCAGGTGTGTGTATCTCTTCCCAAGTAAAGCTAATAGCCCATTTCCGAGTTGACCTAAGCCTTTCTATCAAAGCGAGGCCTGGTGCATGCGAATGCATTTTCATATGAAAGGATGGGCATCAAGACTCACTTTGAGAAAAATGACCCATTGGGGTACTTAGTATGAAGTTGCACGCAAATCATTTTGACTGTACAAATCATTTCGAGTATGTATCTGTACTGAAAGTCGCTTGGGTATGTTGTTTATTTTTTTAGTTTAGTTTATTATATTTTTTAGCTTGAAAAAACAAAGATACCCATGGGTTTCTCTTTCGCTCTTTTTCCTTCAGGCATCACCGAGTGCCCGTTCCCCTGTCCCGCTGTCTGTATCACCTGCAGTATTTGGTTGTCGTTTATTTTCTGTGTGCTGTTGGTTTTAACATCGCCGAGATTGTTCAGTTATTACCTTACAATCGAACTTCATCGACCGCTATCGCCCCTGTGGCAAACCAAACTTTAACGTCACTTAACGCGTCTACTGTTGATAACTCTAGCCTGACAAGTCTGCATAACAGGCAATGGCGCCTTCATAACATTCTAATCAACAACGGGACTCTTTAAACGTGAAGGAGAGCAATAAATGGCGGTCAAGTCTGAATGGAGGCCACCTTTCTTCACGCGCGACCTCCACGCGCGTAACAAGAAATGAGCGCTACGGCCGCGTGCGATGAGAGATGGCTGCACTCATGGGTTAAGGCGCAAATTGTAATTTACTTACAATTTGGGATATAGTAAAACTTTTTATTATATAAACACCGATGAAATACCAGGTGAGCTTTCGCGCGAAAACATGATATCTTCACACGTGAAAATAACATGTTATCACATGTGAAAAGATCTTGTTGCTACGGTAACATAGTAAATCGCGCCCTTCTCAGCGAAAGTTAAATGGTTCGTTATTTCGCCGTGTTTAGATAATAAATAGGACATTACATGGCCGCTTGAAGATACGAAATTTCTCTGCGAGTGTTGAAACTCGAAGAGAAATGTCGTATCTCCGCGCGGTCTTGTAATATCGTCTATGTAATAAAACTAGGTGGTTCTCGCTTTAAAACTATAAGGTTAAACACAGTTATTTGAAAGTGGCACAAGTTCAGTTGAGGCCTTACACTACTGTAAAATGATATTAAAATCGTTTAAAAAATCCAAGCTTTCGCCGATCTACGGCATCATCAGGGATAAGAAAAAGTATTTCGCGTAAGGCTTATATACAGATGTAAAGTAAAAACGTGTGAAAAGTGAAAGAATGTTGGGGGTAAAATGCATGAGATAAATAATAAGGTACAAATATGAATAAAAACGAATGATATGATATAATTAGCGAGTGTCAAAGTACAAAGAGTCTCTAGATATGTTAAGATAATTATTAGAATAAAAGGTCCGCGAATTNGTACCTGTACTGAAAGTCGCTTGGGTATGTTGTTTATATTTTAAGTTTAGTTTGTTATACTTTTTTAGCTTGAAAAAACAAAGATACCCATGGGTTTCTCTGTCGCTCTTTTTCCTTCAGGCATTCCCGAGTGTCCGTTCCCCTGTCCCGCTGTCTGTATCACCTGCAGTATTTGGTTGTCATTTATTTTCTGTGTGCTGTTGGTTTTAACATCACCGAGATTGTTCAGTTGTTATCTTACAATCGAACTTCATCGACCGCTATCGCCCCCGTGGCAAACCAAACTTTAAAGTCACTTAATGCCTCTACCGGTGGTAACTCTAGCCTGACAAGTCTGCATAACAGGCAATGGCGCCTTCATGACGTTCTGATCAACAACGGGACTCTTTAAACGTGAAAGGAGAGCAATAAATGGCGGCCAAGTCTAAATCGAGGCCACCTTTCTTCACGCACAGCCTCCACGCGCGTAACAAGAAATGTGCGCCACGGCCGCGCGCGATGAGAGATGGCTGCACTCATGGATTAGGGTGGCTCCCTATAGTTTTACGATTGCACGCGCGCATAGCACGAAAGCTCAAGTAATCTGCGCGCGCTCAAAGGAAAACGACAGTGTTTTTCGATGTTTATGACGTCAACATGAGACCAAAAAGCAAAAACTGACAGTGAATTTTCTCGCGTTTGCTTTGGTGAATTTTTTTTAAATTTGGTTCAGTTGTAACCACATACAATTCCTATAAAATACCCTATAGTTGTTAAACTCTGTCAGAGCTAATCTAGTATATTTGGAAGAATGACAAAGTGCAGATTATTGGAAAAACCGTCTGAACAACCTTGACTTTTTACCAATTCAAAACGTCAGGCAATATCATTTCCATGATGTGGCAAAGTATGAAAAGATTTCACCGAAGGAAAGTATAAATATTAAGGAGTTTAGGCCAAAATGAGGAATATATCTGCCTGTCATAAGATGAGCTGTTGCCGTGGTAACGACCTTAATCCAAAAATTGACAACCAAAAAATAAGCCTTATTTTAACAGTACCCATACTGGTAAATCTCTACAGGGAAGACTAAGAGAAATTAACTAAGTACAAAGTTTCCTTTCCTAACTCGCGCTGTATAGAGAGGGTGTTCGTAAATACTCTAGGGAGCCACGTTAAGGGGCAAATGGTAATTTACTTACAATTTGGGATATGGTAAAACTTTTTATTATATAAACACTGATGAAATACCAGGTGAGCTTTCGCGCGAAAACATGATATCTCCAGTATTTTCACGTGTGAAAAGATCACGTTGCTACGTTAACATAATAAATCGCGCCTTTCGCAGCGAAAGTTAAATGGTTCGTTATTTCACCGGTATTTATATGATAAATAGAACATTACATGGCCGCTTGAAGAAACGAAATGTCTCTTCGAGTGTTTAAAAATATGAAAGATTTCGTATCTCCGTGCGGCCATGTAATATCTATGTAATAAAACTAATTGGTTTTCGCTTTGGTTAAACACAGTTATTGAAAACAAAACATAAGCGTTATTCCATCGTGTCAGACACGTCATGGACTGTGCGATTTTTGTACTGAGGAAAGTTTGAAGATTGTTAAGCATAACTCTTTCATTCAACCTTAGCTTGTAAGGATTTACAATGGTTTAAACACAGTGTACTCCAAACATGAAGCTTTATAGAATAGGAATATTTATAGCCATTTTGATATTTATTGAGGATAGCACGTAGAGAAACGTGTGTTTATGTATTTTCATAGAAAAAAAGCTCATTTATTCACAGTAGTCATATCATTAAGTTCGAGAGAAAATTAAGTGGCAGTCA